GCTCAGCAATGTGGGACTAGAGGGATCATGTCTCAACATAATAAAGGCCATATATGAAAAGCCTACAGCCAATATCATACTCAATGGAAAAAAACTAAAATCATTTCTCTTAAGAACAGGAACAAGACAGGTATGTCCACTTTCGGCACTCTTATTTAACATAGTATTAGAAGTCTTAGCCACAGCAATTAGACAAGAAGAAAAAATAAAAGAAATCCAAATTGGAAAGGAGGAAGTGAAACTCATTATTTGCAGATGACATGATATTTACACAGAAAACCCTAAAGACTACATCAAAAATCTACAAGACTTAATAAATGAATTTGGCAAAGTAGCAGGGTACAAAATTAATGTCAAGGAATTGATGTCATTCTTATACACCAAAAATAAACTCACAGAAAGAGAAATCAAAAAAACAATACCATTTACCATTGCAGCAAAAATTAAGATACCTAGGAATAAACTTAACCAAAGAAGTAAAGGACCTATTTGCAGAAAACTACAGCTCATTGAAAAAAGAAATAGAGGAAGATATAAAAAAGTGGAAACACATACCTTGTTCGTGGATTGGAAGAATTAACATCATTAAAATGTCCATACCGCCCTGGCCAGTTTGGCTCAGTGGTTAGAGCATTGGCCTGCAGTCCAGAGACCTGGGTTCAGGTCCCGCTAATGGCGCGTACCTTTGTTGCAGTTTGTCCCCGGCCCTGGTTTGTTGTGTGGGTGGCAGCTACTTAATGTGTCCCTTTCACGTCCATGCTTCTCTCTCTCTCTTCCTCTCTCTCCCTCCCACTCTATCTGAACAAAAAATGAAAAAATGTCCTCGGGTGAGGATAAAAATAAATAAAATAAAATGTCCATACTACCCAAAGCTATATATAGATTCAATGCAATCCCCATCAAAATACCAACGACATACTTCACAGAACTAGAACAAATAATCCAAAAGTTTATATGGAACGAAAAAAGACCATGAATAGCCTCAGCAATCTTGAAAAAGAAGAACAAAGTAGAAGGGATCACATTACCAGGCATCAGGTTATACTACAAAGCCACTGTAATCAAAACAACCTGGTACTGGCACAAGAACAGGCATATAGATCAATGGAACAGAATAGAGAACCCAGAAATGGACCCAAGACAATATGCTCAATTAATATTTGACAAAGGTGGCAAGAGCATACAGTGGAGTCAAGACAGCCTCTTTAATAAATGGTGTTGGGAAAACTGGACAGCTACATGCAAAAAAATGAAACTAGACCATCAACTTACACCATACACAAAAATAAACTCAAAATGGATAAAAGACTTAAATGTGACTCTTGAATCCATAAAAATCCTACAAGAATATGTAGGCAACAAAATTTCAGACATCATATGCAGCTGAATTTTCACTGATACATCACCTAAGACAACAGAAACAAAGGAAAAAATGAACACATGGGACTATATCAAACTAAAAAGCTCTGCACAGCAAAACAAACAATCATCAAAATGCAAAGGGAACCCAGTATTTGGAAGAGTATAATTGCCAATGATATATCAGATAGGAGTTAATTTACAAAATATATAGAGTACTCACACAATTCAACAAAAGGAAGATAAAGAACCCAATTAAAAAATGGGCAGAGAACCTAAAGAGACACCTCTCCAAACAGGACATACAAATGGCCAAGAGACATATGAAGAAATGCTCAACAACACTAATCATCAGAGAGATGCAAATTAAAACAACAATGAGGTATCACCTCACACCTGTCAGAATGGCCGCCATCAACAAATCATCAAACAACAAGTGTTGGCAAGGGTGTGGAGAAAAGGGGACTCTAGTGCTCTGCTGGTGGGAATGCAGACTGGTGCAGCCACTATGGAAAACTATATGGTGTTACCTCAAAAAATTAAAAATTGAACTTCCATTTGACCCAGTGATCCCACTTTTAGGAATATACCCTAACAAGCCTGAAACACCAATCAGAAAGAATATATGTACCCCCATGTTCATAGCAGCACTATTTACAATAGCTAAGATCTGGAAGCACCCCAAGTGTCCATCACTTGGTGAATGGATAAAAAAGCAGTGGTACATATACACAATGGAGTACTATGTAGTTGTAAGAAAGAAAGATCTCTTATTCTTTGAGACAACATGGAGGGACCTGGAAAGTATTATCCTAAGCGAAACAAGCTAAGCATAGAAAGACAAATATCACATGATCTCACTTATTTCTGGAATATAATGAACTAAACAAACTGATAAACAAAATAGACCCAGAGACATAGAAGTATGTACAGACTGACATTCCTCAGAAAGGGGGGTTGGGGGGACAGGCAAGGGATTAACCACAGAACTTATATGTATGTATGCATAACCAACAGACATAGACAACAAGACTTAGGACAGGGTGGGAGGGGTTCGGGAGGAGGGGGTAAAAAAAATAAAAACAAAAATAAAAAATAAAAGAAAAAAGCAGGCATGCTTATTATTTTGGTAGTTTACTATAATATATTGGTGTATGAAAGACATTCAACTTATTTAATCAAATAGATTTTCTCTATATACACAACTGTTATTTCTAAGTAAGCATCCTCCTAAATTATTTTTTAAGTATTCACTGTAGAGAATGTAATAAAATAGCAATGAAATGTACTCCATCACTGCACCTGATAAATACCTGAAATACACCAATGTGATAAACTTTCAGTTATAAATAATTAACTGTATCCACACCATTAAAAAATCTAATAGGCTAAGTGTGTCATCTCATGACAACATTTTTATGACACTTAGTTTTCCCAAATTCTGTTCTATGCCTCCTTTTTAAAAACCAGCTCTGTTCATATAACACTGCAAAGATGCAAACTGGTGATAACAGAATGATTTTTTTTTTACCCTTTTAATTAGATTTGTTTAAAAGAACAATTTCTACTAATTATTCCAGATGTGTTCTACATCAATCATGTCTTATGCCCTGTAATTCCTGAGAGCAAGGCCCATTCAGCCAAAAAGAATGATATTATTTGAAGTCTTTTGTAACATAAGTAAATTGTTTCTTGCAGTAAAATCCCAAATGGCTTTGCAAGATTTCAGTTAGGTGAGTTGAGAGTAACTGCTACTTTCTAAAGGTCTAATAATCTTTCTGGCCCTTGGGGAGTACTTAATGTATGAGTTATGCCTAAATACCCTATGGAAATTGAAATGGGCAATTTCTTTATTTCACTGTGCATGTTCAGACCACTCATTAATCCTAAATTATTAATCCTAATAACTCTCCTTGGAGGCAGGTAAGGGGCAGCCTCCATAATACTGTCCCCAGATAAGGAAAGGAAAGTCTCTGTCTGCACCCACTGCTAGGCAGCTGGCATCTGAATCTGACCAGGGGCACATATCCACTGGTCCTGAACCCACTAGACAATAAAACTGCTTTTTAATCGGCTTAAATGGGCTTGTTTATTTTCCCCTTTCCTATTATTGAAATAGAAATGGAAATCTGCTTTCAAAGACCAGCCTAACAGCATCTCCTTCCTTGGTTGGCCTGACCTTCAGGCAGTACAGCTGCCTGAGTTGAGTTAAAAATGGACTGTCAAGCTGGCTTTAATTTCTGCTGCTCTGCCCCCGAATGTCCTCCCACTGATCTGTGTTTCACACCCTCCTTACGCCTTCTGTTGTTGTTTTTCTTACTGAGTTTTTAGCCTGGACAGCTGAACCTTTCAAGGTCCTAACCTGCAGATCCTTGTACCAGTGACAAAGTAATCCCAGAGGCCTGGGAGCCAACGCTGGAACCTCCTGCTAATTGAAACAGTCTTTCCCTCCAGGCATCCCGCCCTTTCCTTCCCCGGACCCACCACCGTCTTTGGGAATGGCCACTCTGAACAGATCATCTCCTACTGGCACACCAACACGGGGGAAGTGTGGCTTAGAAACTTCGCAAGAAAACATGTTTGGCTGCTTGCCAATAGGTTGTTGACTCTTTCCTTGGCTCCTCTGTCCCTCTGTGCGGTCAGGTTCGGGACTGTGCACCAGGCCTCACAGGATTAACCCTAACGGGATGTAAAACTGTGTCTTCACTGCCCAAAGCCCCTTCAAGAACTCGCAAGCCCAAGTTCCTCCACCCTGACAGGGCTCGCCAGGAACTTCTGCCTCTGGGAATGACAATTGCTCCCTGCGACCAGGCGGCTGGGGAAGGCAGCTAAGATCCCACTAATGGTTTTGTTTAGTTTCTTGGCAAACTCCCCTTGGTCCAATCTCCCGGCGCTCCGGAGCCAGGTCTAATTAGAAGAGTACCAGGCTCACCCTGCTCGCAGAGAAAACGCATTAGTCATAGATGAAACAGCACGAAGAGTGCGGGCGCCCGGGAGTGCAGCGGGTGAAGACCCTTCCTAAAATGCTGGGGAGCCTTTGATGCCTAGAGGAAGGCTGGATCTGACAGCGTTCTGCAGAGAAGGACGGAGAAACCCAGGGACGGGGGGTAGAGTTGACTTGGTTAGAAGCCAGAACGAAGTGCATAAATGATGCTCACTGAACATGGAAACAGAGTTAAGCAGAGTGTTCGGTATATCACAGCAATGCCTAGGTCACAGTAACAGACAAAGGGCAGAAAGCCTCCCGCTGCCCAGGACAGAATCTCATCAAGGGCACCGGCGGCACGAGTGCGCGCGCGCGCTGGCGGAGGGGTCACACCAGAGAATCCAGGCTGGTGGCAGAGGGGAGTGGTCAGCTTTGGGCGAGTCGTGTACCCGGAATTGCAGTCGCGGTGACCCGTGGCCCACCCTGGAAACAGCAGGTATCAACAGTAGTGCAAGCTTGTCCCCACCTCCCAGCGGCTCGCCTTGGGCGGCTAGAAGTGTCGGGGTTGAAACGCAACCCTTCCAGAAGAGGGGCGGGGCGCGGGGCCGGGGCGGGGCGGGCGGCGCAGGTAGGCGGGGCGGGCCGGCCGGCCGAGGAGGCTGGGCCTATAAAGTGCTCGCTGCCCCAGAGGCGGTGCAGTTCAGTGGGGGCGGGTGCTAGGTGCGCTGGGGCCGAGCCGGGTGCCGATCTGCTGGGGTCCGCAGGTCCCAGCGCCCCCGAGGGAAGAGGCCCCAGAGGAGAGTGCCCACCTCACTTTACCTCGCAGCGTTGCCAGCGAGCGCGTCGGCCTCAGCCAACTCCCGGCAGGTGAGCGAGGCGGCTGCCGGGGTGCCATGGGGCAGAGGCGGGGGCCTCCGCTGCCCGGGCCACGGAGGAGGGTGAGCTCCGCGGGCCAAGTCGGCCTCAAGTTTTGCTAACTTTGAATGGGTTTCAGGTTTTGGCAGTAGTTGGGTCTCCACTAGCGAGACTGCAAACTTGAGTTGCAGGGACCGGTTCCTTCCCTTTGGGAAACAAGGGCTCGGCTGGTTCGCTCTGGGTACGCGGGGCGTGTTAGGAGCCTCTGCACGTCTTGCCGACTCTTGCAAATCTGTCCTTGCTGCCTGCTTTTTCCAGCGCCCCAGGCCGTTCTGCCCCGCGAGGGAAACGGAGCCGTTGACCATGGTTGCAACTGGCAGTTTGAGCAGTAAGAACCTGGGCAGCATTTCAGAGTTCCTGGACCATGGCTTCTACCCGGGGAGCCTGCTAAATGGTGAGTTTCCCAGCTGCCCGCCTCTCTCCCCTCCAAAGGTTGCAGCCCTTCCATTGATCCGATCGGATAGGCGGGTGTTCGGTGTCGCCCCATTCCTCAGTGGAGGTACCACAAAATCCATCTGAGGAAAGTTCTTTCCAAACTTTCTAGCATCTTCTGTCCATGACAGTGAGAATCAAAAGTAGCACAAAAATATTGAGGGCTGCATAGGTCTAGCCTGTTGCTAATAGGCTCTTTGGGGTGAAAAGTTATCTAGGTTCCTTACCCGACATGGTTGTCAAGTTTTGGTAAATTTTAAGTGTACAGTTATGTGTGTTTTAACAAATGTAATCACCCTGTAATCACTACCATGACCATCTCCCCCTCCCCCCCAAATTCCCATCAATTGCCAACTCTTCCTCTCCCCGTTTACTTTGCCTCTAGAGTTTCATCATATAACGTGTACTCTTGTAGCCCGTTTTTTTCCTGCAGCTTAGTTATTTTGAGGTCCTTCCATGGTGTTGCTTGTATCAGTGTTTTCCTTTTTATTGCTGTGTAGTATTCTATTTGTGGATGTATCCATTATTCCCCTTTTAATGGCAGAAGGAAATTTTAAAATAGCAGTGATGCTGGTCATACTGTCATTTGCAATTTTAAACAGCAGTTTCTAAGCTGTGTGGGCATAGACAAATCGCTGAAGATCTTTGGGCCTTTCACATTTAGAAGGCAAAGTGGTTGATGATCTAATTTTGTAGTCCAACTCCCTAAAATTCTCTATCCTCAGTGTATGAAGCCTTATAATTTGGAGTGCATTTGTTTTATTTAGTTATTTAAAAACAATGATCTAAGTGAATACGCGATGTGGGGAGAGGAAACCACAACAGCCAATGAGGTTGAAGTTGGCTTAGGGAAGAGAACCTGCAGGACCTCTGCCTGCACCCTGCTCAGTTGACTGTGTGTATGGCATCTTGCCAAGTGGTAGGATTAATTTGGAAGGTAGGTGACCAAATGCAGACCTATCTCTTTTCCTTTGAGCAAGTCTAATTTTGTTTTCCTAGAACTATTTTGTTTTGCTTGGCCATGGAAAAGTACCCAGCCAGTTATAAATATCCTGGTGGACCTCAAAGGTCTTCTTTGAGCAATTTTTAATCAAAGAGGTTGAAGCTAAAATTTGTATTTACAGGCAGTTCTAGTAAAGAATTTAAAGAAGGAAACCGATTTAATAGATATTTAATATAGCTCCTCAGATTCATCTTAAGTTTATCACTGAAGGACAAAAGGAAAAATTTGGTATTTTATTTTATTTTTTACTTGTGTTGCTTTATTTTTTTAAACAATTTTTAAATTTTAATTTAATTTAATGTTTTTCTATCACCATTGATCTCCTCTGTGTCATCCTCTTCCACCTCCACCCGTCCCTACCCCCTGCCATCACCACACCAAAAAAATGGGCACAATTTGGTATTTTAAAGCAATAAACTCATATATTCTTAAAGTCAGAAGGTAAGTTTTTGACTGTCATCATCAGAAAAAAAGTATATAACCATTTTTATTCCAGAAGTAAAGCATGTTCTCTGCAAAACAAATGGAAAGTCTTCGTAAGCAAGTAAGGGAGCAAGAAATGAAAGAAAATAATGATAGGATAACCATAGGTTAACCTAGGATAATCATAAGAGATTTTTGATCCATAGTCTTTAAGGTTTTGTGTGTGTGTACACACAAATTTAAAGAAAAATGGTTGTATCCTATCTACCCTATTTATTAATACCTTTATTTTATGAGAGGTCATATGACTTGCTCTATTACTCCACAAGTTAATAGCAGAGTGAGGTCAGCTGACTCTCAAAAAAATATTGGAAACAGGTAGACGTGGCAGAGATATGACCGATGATGTTATCGTGGTGTGTTTTTCATGCTCCTTGATTTTTTTTCTTAATTTCAAACTTCCATTTTCTACAGATTTTGACTACTGGGATTATGTTGTTCCTGAACCCAACCTCAGTGAGGTGGTATTTGAGGAGACAACTTGCCAGAGTTTGGTTAAAATGCTGGAGAACTGTCTGTCCAAATCCAAGCAAACCAAGCTCGGTTGCTTGAAAGTGCTTGTCCCTGAGAAACTGACCCAGAGGATTGCTCAGGACGTCCTTCTCCTCTCCTCCACGGAGCCCTGCGGCCTGCGGGGCTGTGTCATGCACGTGAACATGGAAGTTGAAAATGTATGTATAAAGCTGGATAGGATTGTGTGTGACTCTAGTGTGGTGCCCACTTTCGAGCTCACACTCGTGTTTAAGCAGAACTGCTCGTGGACCAGCCTCAGGGACTTTTTCTTTAGTCGAAGTCGCTTCTCATCCAGCCTCAGACAAACTCTGATCCTGAGCTCAGGATTTCGACTTGTTAAGAAAAAGCTTTACTTCTTGATTGGAACAACAGTCATTGAAGAGTGCTAAAAAGGAAACATTGAAAACGGTTCTTTTCATGATTGGGTAACAAAACTCTGCAGCTGCTCAGTTACAGTCATTGTAGTTTGCCCTGCCTGCTCTCAACAAGAAACCCCAAATCAAGTTCATCTTCTGTATTTCAGAGTCACAGCAATGCCAGCTAAAGGGCTTATTTGGTGGCTTTTGAGAAATGATTCCAGCGTCTGCATTGTATCGCTTTCCTTTTTTTATTTACAAAGTGGAATGGAATGGAATAAGGAAGGAATAGAAGCAATCCACTTTAGATTTGTATTTGACTACAGAGGGTTTTCCATGTAGTCTTGCTAATAGACCATTAAACCGATGTCGTTTAGTTTTATTTTCATATGGCTTTTTTTCTTCTGTAAGTTTTCAGAGTGATCCTATCAATCACAGAATCTTACTGAGTGATGCTTAGCCCATCAGAACTTCCAGAAGCCTACACCACACATTTCCTGCTCTACTCTAATTTGAAGGGTTCTTATATAGAAGGATAAAATGAAGTGGGTGAGCGTAATTAAAACTTAACTCCATTCAAGAGTGAATAAGAAACATCACTGGAAGAACAGAACCACTTCACTGTTTCCTTGCATATTCCCCACTCTCCAGGGTTTTTTTGTTGTTTGTTGGGGGAGGGGGGGTGTATTTGTTTGTCTTTTAAATATTTTTTATTGATTTTTAGAGAGACAGGAAGGGAGAGAGAGAAACATGGATGTGAGAGCAAAACATTGATCAGCTGCTTCCTGTAAGCCCCCTGGCCAGGAATTGGACTGGCGACCTTTCCATGCACAGGACAGTGACCAATCTACTGAGCCACACTGGCCAGGGCTCCGCTCTTCTGTGTTAAAAAGGTGGCAAAAGCTGGATCTACCATTTTAGTATTGTTTTACGTAACTTTGTTACAATATAAGCTCAGTTTTTCTAGTTCTCGAATTGAATGATATTTTTAAACTAGAAAAAATGGAAAATGTTAAACTGTTCTTTTGCATGTGAATGCATACAGGGATAGGACATGCGTTCTGAGATCTCATCCCATTCTCGTTCATTTCATGATCTAGCTTCTTTTCACTATCACACATTCTTAATCTCAGATGAACCCTCTCACCAGTCGGTGTTATCTCATCCCTGGCCTCTCCTGGGAACTCAGGTATCTCTCCTTTACCCATTCTTCAAAGGAGGAAACTGCAGACTACCACTCTCCATTATTAACGTGGGTCAATTACAACAGACTAGAGAGTGAAAACCAGGCCTGGTTAGCCAGCTCACTGTACCCAGCCTTCTTCAACCGTGGGTACCTGTCCCTAGGGAACACTAAAAGCTTTATTTTTTTCTTGCTCCTACCTAGATCATTATCCTTTTTTTTATGCTAATAAAAGAATGTAGCCTCCACACTACAACGTTCACTTCTGCAAGGCCTTCACACTTACTGTCGGTCATGAATACGTTTATTCAGATCTTCTGCCCAAGCTGTTAGCACCACTTTACATATCTGAGGGTGGTAGGGACAGATGGCTTCATCCTGGTGGAACTCAAAAGCAGTTAGATCCTGTTACTGATCCTGTAAGTGACCTAAAACGTCACTATTCAAATCATAAAGTCCTCTCTAGGACCGGGCCAGCTTCACTCACACTTGTTTTGCATGTCTATTATTAGTTAGGGCTCTGAAGGTCTCTGTGAGTCTGTGGGTGAGGCCTCTCTGGCAGGATGTAGAGTTGTTGTCCCTTTCCCTCTAACAGTTGTCTGACTGTCTTTTATGCTCACACAGTGGTGATAATGGCTTATGGAGACTCTTAATATTTCTGTTAAAGGAAATGAAAGTTTGTCTATTTTTGACAATAAAGCATCATATATTTTTTATTTTTTGTCCTCTGTCTTTTCTGAGTTTATTCAATGACACTAAAAATATTTGACAATATTTGAGGGAAGATGACAAAACATTTATCTTTTATAAGTGCTTTGCTTCATAATTTTTTCAAATATAAGAATACGTTTTATAGGAAGACGATGATTTGAGCTCCTTTAGCCGCCTTTAAAAAAAAAACAAGTCATTGTATAAAAGCTTTTCTATAGTTTTCCTAATGACCAAATGCAAATACATCAAACTGTGAGATCCAGATCCGTGTAGATTTTTATTTTAATCAGAATACATGGTAATGAGCTGGGAGGAGCATGATGCAGATGTTCAAAACCCCAGGCTCCTGCCTAAACCCTGCCATGGATTTTGGACTCCTGATACTCCACTGAATCTGCTGCAGATAAGAGGACAGAGGCTGAAGGGTGTCGTGACTCTTAGGGGCCATGTGGGGGAGTGATGGACATGACTTCTGTCTACATCCCACATAAAACTCAGTCACATGGCCCCATTCAATTGCAAAAGGGGCTGGGAAATGCGGCTGAAAGGTGTGCCTACGAAGAAATGGGCTTGATGAACTTGCTGACACACAGGAAGAGGTGAGTTAGTCTATGAACTAATAGAGAGCCCAGACACAGACCTACACATATATGGAAAGTGGATTTACAGCAGAGTTGTACCTTTAGATAAATGGGTAAAGGATGGTGTTATAATAATCATTTATCTACAGGGCAAAAAAAGAGAAATTGGATGCATATACATCAAGCATAAAAACCAATTCTAGGCTGATTAAAGAGTTAGATGTGGAAGGGATACTTTTATAAGAGAATATAATTTTATGATTTCAATGTAAGAAAAGATTTCTTAAATAAGGTGCAAAAAAAAGAAAGAAAGAAACTATCACATAACACTATAAAGAGAATGAAAATACAAATTCTGAACTGGAAGAAAGTATCTTCTATTAACTCCAAAAGAGTTAATAACCAGAATGTGTTAAGAATTCCTTCAAAACAATTAGTAAAGCACAAACAACCCAAAAGAAAAAATGTGGGCAAAAGCTTTGGATAGGCACTCTACAGTAGAGGAAACTCATGGCTGATAAACCTATGAAAAGATGCTTGATCTAACTAATAATTAGGGAAATGCAAACTAAAAGCACAATAAGACACTAATGTATACACATCCACATTGGTTAAAAAAAAAAGTTAAAGTCATCATCCAAATGTTGGTGAGGGTATGGGAGGGAAAAAAACTTGCTACAACACGCCCATATATGTGAATTCAGTCTGACATTCTTTTGTAAAGTTGAAAATATACATATTTTATAAGTCTACAATTCTATTTTTACTTATCAAATCTAAATTAGTTTTCTTTGAACTTTTTTCCTTGTTGTATATCTAAGAGAATTTTGTAAAGGTACACGCTCTACCTTATTTTAAAATTGCCATCTAGAGTTTTCACCCTAATTATAAAATGTTGCAAATACTGTTAAGTTCCAAGGTGTGGTAAACACTGATCTTTTTAAATAAAATGATTACATCACTTTGTTAAATGTTTCCAATGGAATGTAAATAGCATAGTAATTTAACACCAAAATGTATTTAAAAACACAAATAGAGTCTTCAACAATCAATTTTTCAGTGTTACTTTTTAAAGTCTAGGTTTCACTGAATTTTACCTTTATGTTATGTGTTTTAAGCTTGACAGTCGTATTATTTCTTCTACAATAAAAACAAGATTATAAATTAAAATTTTCTGTGATCATAAAGCTCTTAATTTTTTGATTGAGTTGACTTTACAAATAATAATAGTGTACAATGATCAAAACATCAAATATTCGCAAACTTGGATTAAGTATCATTTCCTATATTTTGTTTCTATAGATGTCAACTCAGAAAACATTCTTCATTTCAGTAAGTAGGTGGAGATCGAAAAGATTTGATTATCACAATATCAAGTAGTAATCAATCATTGAACTACTTTCAAGATATATGCCAAAATCACATAAATATCTACCACCAAAATTATTTTAAATAATCAGCACACAGATCATCAAATCAGATTCTCTTTCAATACTGTTGAAAACAAGGACTAAAAACCACCTGATGGGCAAAAGGTCTTGTTACTTTGATGTATTAGTCTGCTCAGGGTGCCGTAACCAAGTACCACAGACTGAGTGGCTTAGTCAACAGGAAATAATTTTCTCATAGTTCTGGTGTGCTAGAAGTGTGGGATCAAGGTGTTGGCAGGGCTGGTTTTGACGGGGAACTCCAAGAGTTACAAATGTTTAGCCTTAGTTGTATAGTTAATAGGCTTGATAATTAATGCATGCAGAAAGCCATTGTTCCAGGAACTGAAATGTATGACAGGACCTACCCTGACCCCAGGACACCCACTAGCAGTTCTGCCTCTGTGCCCCAGGACGATTGCAAGCAAGACTTCAAGATGATATCTGAGCCATCGTGCCCCAGGGAGAGAACGTTCAGCTGCCCAGGATGCAGATAAAGAATCATGGGTCAGCAGGTGAAGGGATGCGAGGAAAATCACCAGCCTGCAGCTTTTTTTATGATCAACCTTTTCCCTGAATTCCAAACCCCTTATCTACTTTTTCCTGAATTCCAAACCCATTAGGTACACTTTTCTTCTTATAAAAAAGTCTATTGAAAAGTGAGATGTAAGATGGTCTTTAGAGTACATAAACCACCGTCTTCTCAGGCCGCCGGCCATCTGAGTAAGTGCCCATAAAGATTCAATTCTATCACTACTTACTGTTCTGGTAGTGACAGGCAGCATCAACTCTGACTTTTCTGGTTTCATATTTTCCTGAGACCTCTCTCCTTGTCTTGTTGATGGCTGTCTTCTCCCTTGGTCTTCACATTGTCTTCCCTCTGTACAGTTTGTGTCCAAATCTCCTCTTCTTATATGGACATCAGTCATATTGCATAAGGGCCCACCCTAATGGACCTCATTTTAACGTCATTATCTATTTAAAGACCCTATCTCCAAACACAATCACATGCTAAGGTACTGAAGTTAAGGATTTAAATATGAAATTGGGGGGGGGGGGTGTGACACAATCCAATTGAAATAGCCTATGTGGGAGAGAAGAGTCCAAACTAGAGAAAAGCTGTTTATATTAAATATAATATGATGATACCAAATTGTTCAAGAGTCATTACAAGGAAAAATGAATTGTCTTTGGTCGCTGGATATAAGGAAGAGAGAAAGAAAGGTATCAGTAAACTTCAGGTATTTAGGTTTCTCTCCTGCCTGTTTGACGTAGACAGTAAAATCATCACCCTGAACAGGTAACAAGGACTTATAGAAGCTACCATAAGACTAACAGCCACAGAGATCTTATATCTGGCATCATTTCTCTTTTAATAACTGCTTTAGGTGGAGTACCCTGGAGGTAGCCTGAGATGGAGATTTGCAAGCAGAAGGTCAATGCCCTTTTGGCCAACACCTCTGGACAAGAGAAGGAAGTA